AAGAAGGTTATAAAGTAAACCTTAAACAGTTAAAACAATATTTGAACATCTATAAAGTTTATAAAGTTAACCTTAAACAGTTAAAACAATATTTGAACATCTAAGAAGTTTATAAAGTTACGCTTAGGTTTAAACTGTCTTGGCCGAGCAATGCGTCTAAGGGCACAAGGGATGACGTCGTGAATAATTTTGTTGAAAAAAAACAATAAAATTATTTTGAAAATGGGTCATACAAAAAACAATTGTAAAAAAAACATTTTGTGAAAAAGTTTGTAAGTCCAATTGCCAAAATATAATTATAATATATTATCTGTGTCTTGCTATTGCTGGACTTCGTTATAGGAATGCACGTAGTTGAGTTTTAAGGGCAGAGAAAGAGCAGCAAAGTTGATTGGAATTGGGACCGGTGGGTAGAAGATAGATAGATAGATAGATAGATAGATAGATAGATAGATATATAGATAGATAGATAGACAGACAGATATATAGCCAGAAATTTATATATTGATAGATATACAGATAGACTGCACAGATATACACGTACAGATAGATTGCCAGATGGACAGATAAATAGACAGATAGATAAAGTGATATAAATACATATTTATAGACAGATAGGTATACAGGTATACATACAGATTTGAAGAATTTTAGTACTCTTCTGATTTAAATTGTATTTGAAGACGCAAAAGTATAAAAGAAAAATATCAAACAATTAATGTTTAATTGGTCAAATTGGTAAAGGAATTGAGTCTTTGTCACAAACTCTGATTTTCTGATCCCTATATCTTTGTAACCGAATGTTGTAGATCAAACTGTTAATTCAGCGTGAGCTAGACCAACACAAATTACACTATCAAGCTAAATATCTTCATACGTGATATAAACAGCAAATTTTAATCAAAATAAAACATTATTTTAATTTAATATTTTACAATCTAACCTTTAAAATGTGTTGTATAAACAGGTGTGTTTTCTAACTTTAGCACGATATTTCAGATTAAATGCTAGCAGGCTAATTTTTTGTACAATTTAAATCTATTTAGTTAGAATGAAAGGCTGCTAAAATACCGATTCTGAAACACAATATAAAAACAAATTAAATATAAAATTCTAATTCTGTAACAAAAGAATGAAATTCAATACACATTCTGACGTCATAGGTCGTGAGAAAAAACTATTTTATATTTCTCTTGATGAATGCAGTTTGACTGTGTTTCCAAAACTATGGATCTCAAAAAATTAATTTATAGCTTTGACAATTGTAGTAAGATTTTAGATTTTAATGTACTTTTAAAGTGAAGGTCAAACATTTTTTTAATAAAAAAGGTTAGGCTAATCCGATTGAAGAGAAGAAACACCCCAGTCTTAAAGTAGCATAATCCGTGCCGGTCAACACGTACTGTTTATGCTTTCAGTCGTACTGTCCAGTCAGGCTACCCAGTGTAGAATCTACCCAGCACGTTATGTCCAGTCAGGCTACCCAGTGTAGAATCTACCCAGCACGTTATGTCCAGTCAGGTACCCAGATCACAGCGGAATGGTATCATTTACTTTGTAATAATATTATTAGAACGTTTTATCTTGACCAAGATAGAGCTGTAAATTAACATTTTTTTTTCGTTCGGACGGATTTTTAGAACGTTTTTATTGCGACTGAACCTAAATACAGCACGTGAAATTAACGTGCTGACTGTTGTACAAGCTGTACAATACATAAGAAATTGAACATAATAATGTGTGTAAATTCTCTCTCCCCCCGCTCCTTACTGTACTGTAGGGACCCTGGAGAAGGATAAATTATATATAGAATCCTGATTGTAAACCGGTACATGTACAGTGTATACTGTACAACAATAAAACTGATTCAGATACTTCAGTTTGCACTAACCTGCGCTGCAACTCTTATATCAGAATTAATATTCAGGTATACAATTATCTGATATACTGGCTCATCTTCTCATGAAAACATATTCGAAAGTCTATATTTCTATTCACTATTATAAGTTTTAGTTCAATAGTAAATACAGGTCCATTCAAAAACCATTACTCTCTAACGAGAAACAAACAAATTAATATTTATTCTATTATTTATAATCGCTGGTAGAGGTAGAGAGGGCGTTCCTCTCTCCCCCTCCCCCCCTTCATACTTCGTCTCTCTGCGTCCTGAGAGCTCGGAGTAGAGAAGCAAGCTAGAGATGAAGACCTCGCCAACCCCCCTGGAAAGGTCGTACTCGTTTATTTGTCATTTTATTGTGAAATAAATGATTGTACAAATTTATGCATAGCAGTAACTTTCTATCAGTGAATGCACTGAAATAATTCTGGTTACAAAGATATAGAGGTTTTTAAAGTGTAGAAAAGGTTATCCTCTCAAAACAAAATCTGGTCTATACGACACTGACCCTGTTCACTCTGTGAGGTTGTTGAAAGACAGCTGGAGATATTTGTAATGACGATAAATCTATTTTGTGAGAAGGACAGAGAGATACATGAAAATGCAGTAAAAATTACTGAACTTTTTATGGTTTCTTTGATACCAGGATACCAGGCATACCTTTCTTTCTTGATAACTAGCTCAATTGTTATCAGATGAGCAAACCTAATGATTTCAGTAGGGAACTCCGAGTTCAACTATTTAAATCATTAACAAGATATTTTTATCAGGGGTCCATACTTCTAACCATCTAATCATATAACCATCAAACCATCTGACCATATAACAATATAACCATTTAACCATCTAATCTAACCATCAAACCATCTGACCATATAACAATATAACCATTTAACAATCTAACCATCTAACCATCTAACCATCTAACCATCTAACCATCTAACCATCTAACAATATAACCATTTAACCATCTAATCATCTAACCATCAAACCATCTGACCATATAACAATATAACCATTTAACAATCTAACCATCTAACCATCTAACCATCTAACCATCTAACCATCTAACCATCTAACCATCTGACTATATAACAATATAACCATCTAAACATATATCCAACTATTCAACCAGGCAACCATCCAACCTAAATTTTTAGACTCCTGCTAAAAACTTTGTTTAAAGAATCTGTCAAGAAACCTCAATATTTCAATCCTCAAGCCTATAATTTATCTTCCTTATCTAGTATTGGTTCAACTAGTGAATAGCTAACCTTAGATAAGATAAAACAGATATTAAGCTTAATCTTGATACTATACAAACCACTTCATTCACCTTCCTTTAGAGTTAACCTATTTCACAAGACTAAATTTTGTATTTTTAACCGTCATTACCTGTTGAATTTACAGGGTAACCCATAGGATGAGATTTCAATGATAACCAGATAAACAGGATTTAATTTTAAGTTCTGTCTTATATTTGTAAGTTTAATGATTTAATACAGAATGAAGAATTTTATAGGAAATAGTAAATGTGAGAATACAGACTAAAAACCATTCTGTACAGTCTCATACTTTGTGGTTAATTCCATTATATATGAATTTATATTTTACTATAAATAGTATAAATAAATATAAACAAACTTGCGTATATAAATCTATAATCTTCTAGCGATACAATACAATATAATACAATTGAATAATAGCTTAAACATTTATTTACATAAATAATACTTTCTCTGGTTTAGGATAATATTAAGTAAACTATAGGTGCAGTCAGGCGTACTGCATTAAACCGGTTTCAAACAAAAACATGGCTTTCAAAAGAATTAGTCGACCATGGACATTTAGCTTTAATATTATTATGGACATACAGGGATACAGGGATACAGGGATACAGGGATACAGGGATACAGAGATACAGAGATACAGGAATACAGGGATACAGGGATACAGGGATACAGGGATACAGGGATACAGGGATACAGGGGATACAGGGATACAGGGATACAGGGATACAGGGATACAGAGATACAGAGATACAGAGATACAGGAATACAGGGATACAGGGATACAGGGATACAGGGATACAGGGATACAGGGATACAGGGGTACAGAGATACAGAGATACAGAGATACAGAGATATAGGGATACAGGGATACAGGGATACAGAGATACAGAGATACAGAGATACAGAGATACAGAGATACAGAGATACAGGGATACAGGGATACAGGGATTCAGGGATACAGGGATACCCACAAATTATGAGAAACTAAGAGTCGAATTTATTCAGTCTATTTTTTTATATTCAAACTTTCCAATGGCTTTCAGATTTTTCAATTTTTAAGAGTTTAAGGTTTTCATTAGAGTCTCATTCTTTGTTAGTTAGGTAAAAAACCTGCAGAGTTGAGATATTGTAAAACATGTAAAATTACAATCACAATATATTCAACAGTTAGTACTTCATCAAAACTTTTTTTCTTTAATCCTTTGTGTAAAAAAACGATAAACCAATAATTACAAAATTGCATGACATACTTTCTTATTTTTCGAATAAAGATTCGAGAGAAAGAGAGAGAGAGCGGCCGCCATTATTCTTACACGAAGGAGGTTGCTAGAGCCTGGTGTGAAAGTTAGCACCTCTCCCATTGGTCCAATTATATTCTTGATCTCTGATTGGCTGGTAAGTGTGAAAGTTGCCACCTCTCTCATTGGTAGATTTGTAAGTGTGAAAGTTAGCACTTCCCTCATTGGTCTATTTCAGTATGAGTATTTTCCCACCCACGCTTTTATTTCTTAAAAGGGCAATTTTAAAGAAATTTCAATTTTTGCTGTAATAATGTTAATTGCATTAAACTATTAAAAGGTTATCTAATTTTTCAAAACTGATTACAAATTTCCAAATTTTAGATTTATAGGGAAAAAAAACTAGCTGTGGAAGCGGTCCAGCGGGTACGTGCGCGTTGCCAAGGGTAACATAGTTCGTCCAACCGTTTACCCGCGCTTTGTAGAAAATTACGATTTTAGCTATTTTTTCATATAAAAGTTTATATATAGATAAACAACACGTGACTGGATTTAAAACTATTGTGTTGTGAGTGATGTTTACACTTTTATCTCAGAAAATATTTTTTGCGGATTTTTAGGAACGACTTAACAACCTAAATAGATTTACATTCAGGAGCAAGAGAATGTTTATGAAAAAGGAGATGTTCTGGAAAACATGAAAGGTTTCAAACTTAACCGTTCTCTAACTTCAGCTTAACGTTATTATTCTCCATTTATAATCTTACTTGTGCATTCCTTTTATATTCATGATATGCATTTATACTTCCACATTCAGATACAGAGATAATAGAAGGGGTTGAATATTCGAGGATCCCCCCCACAGCACACAAACAAACCCACAGTCGGCATACAAACATGTACGCAGCACACAAACAAACCCCCATCGTCATACAAACATGTACGCAGCACACAAACAAACCCACAGTCGGCATACAAACATGTACGCAGCACACAAACAAACCACATCGGCATACAAACATGTACGCAGCACACAAACAAACCCACAGTCGGCATACAAACATGTACGCAGCACACAAACAAACCCACAGTCGGCATACACAAACTACAAATAAACATACAGCTAACAAACTGATAAAAAGCCCGCAAACAGATAAACGTACAGCCTACAAACACACAGCGTGAAAGTATATCAACATACGGTCTACAAACAAATAAACATACAGCAAGCAAACAAATAAATATCCTGCAATCAAACACACAGCCTGCAAGTATATCAACATACGACAAACAATTACACATATACAGCTAAGAAATAAATAAGCAAACATAGTTTTAAAACAAAATAAGCATAAACATAATCATAAAATGTATTTTTAAATAAGTAAACACGGACATGACATATTTATAGAGTTTCTAAATAAATATTACATATATTGTTAATTAATATAGAAAGCTCAGTGCGTAAGATTCATGATTGTATAGAAATCCTGCCTTAAAGGGAGTGTTCTCGAAAAGTGAAATGTGAGTTAAACCGTAATTTAAATATTTTTACAGAAGGATAAAATAAAAAATTCTCGCCAACTCTCTTTAAAGTGCCAACTTTCTACCCCGCGGCCACCCCCCTCTTCTCAAAAAAGTTCACCAAAAAAGCCCCCCCCCCCGGCAGAATTTCTACTTTTGACAAGTTTTATCACAGAATATTAAGTGTGTGCAGTATTTACATTTATATAATATAAAGGAATTGAGTCTTTGCCACAAACTCTGATATTCTAACTCCTTTTTTTGCAACCTGATGTCGAAGAGACATCAGATATGTCAAACTATGACTTCTGATAGATCAAATAATCTAAATTTGAAATATCAAATCTTTACACCAGGTTGCAAAGATAAAGGGATTAGGAAATTAGAGTTTGTGACAATGACTCAATTTATTTTCAAGGGACTCGGCAGGGACTCGGCAAAACTACAGATTTTTGTGCAAACCCTCTGTAGAGGTATAGATAAGAAACAAGGATTAAATTGGAATGTGAAATTAGATAATTAAATAATTGATAAATTCATAAGTTTGTTTCAAGAAAAATTATAATTTTTTTATCTTCTCAAAATTTAAAATGAAGGAATAAGCTCTGATTCTGAACAATATACCAAACTAGAATCTTAAATAGAACTTTAGTAAACGCTAACACCTACCATATTTTACAGTCAGTTTTTCAAAAATTAATTTTTCATTTCCAATTATCATGATGCTTACTTTTCATTATAAACCCGGATTAGCATAAAAATAGTCAAAATCAATTTAGAAACCTTTCCGAGATTTACTTTTGTAGAAAACACGTGATTGTTCCCTTTGACAATTGAAAACGAGAATGGTTATTTCACAAATCAATCAAAATGCTACTAGATGATGTTTTTCTGTTGCATACGGCGGTTTAGGGACGGAAGAAGCAGGGTTAGGTGGAATAGGGGCGGAAAGAACAGTGTTTGGCAGAATAGGGGCGGAAAGAACAGTGTTTGGCAGAATAGGGGCGGAAAGATCAGGCCTTGGCGGAGTAGTGTCGGAAAATACAGGGTTTGGCGGAGAAGGGATAGATTTAACCACGTTTTCTCCGAGATCAGGTCCTGATCTAAGTTCCTGGATAGGTTTACAAGTGAGGGTTGATGAAAGGTTTACTCTACTCCGGGTTGGTTCTAAGGTTTGGGAAGATTTTGCTGGTTTTGGAGCGGATATGGAAGGAGAGTTGGATACATCTGTGGAGGTTGATTTGATCGGGGAAGAGGTTTCAGAGGAGAAAGATGCTAAAGATGATGATGACGATGCTGTGTGCAGTAGGGAGGAACCCCACCTGGAGAATTAAAAAAAAAACAATAATTGGAAAATATTTAGTTCTCACTCCGCTCTCTAAAAGTTGCATGATCCGAGCCGATACAACATGTACTGTACATATGCATTTCGCATTAAAAAGTTATTAATTATAAAGAAAGTTATTTTTTAGATAACAGGGGATAATGTTTAGGGCGGGGGGGGGATGATAATATACAGCTAAAAGGGTAAAACAATTTCAAATGGAAAACTGCTTACCCGGTTTCTGCATTCCCTAGGTTTTTGGTAAGTTCAGAGACAACTTCTTGGTTTATTGACCTTACTCCTGTTTCCAAAGATACTGTTGTTGTTTCCAAACTTAATGTTTCTGATTCCGAAGATACTTTTCCTGTTTCCATTGATACTGCTCCTGGTTGCGTTGGTCCTGTCTTTGATTCCGATAATTCTGCTTCTAAATTTATTGATTCTGCTCTTTTTTCAAATTTTCTTTCTTCTGATGGATTGTGTTCGATTGACATCTCAAGGTTTTTCTTCTCTGGACTTTTATCTTCCAATCGGGGGTCCCATCCAACCCCCTCAGACTCCATTTTTTCTTTTTTTATTTCTTCCTCTTCCTGGGGCCTTGATCCAAATACTCCTGCTCCAAGAGCTCCGAGGAGCAAAGAGTTTAACCCTCCCTGGAGTAAAGGATTAAATGCTCCAAGATTTAGGAAAGGAATGGACGGAGGAGCGGAGAGAAGAGAGGTTGGATTTAAGAAGGATGAATAGGGAGAGTTTATCCCAGGGTTCAGGTTGGAGGAGAACATGGAGTTAGCGGAGAGCAGAGCTTGAAAGTTTGCGAGGAGAAGATGATTTCTGTAAAGGTTCGGGAATATATTCTTCTCTCCGTTCTCCAGGTGGTGGGAGAGTGATGGATTGTCTCCAGGTGCGGAGAAGAGTTGAGACGGGGAGAGTTTAGGACACATATCAGCATCTTCCTCTATCTCAATCATTTTCCGCCTACCGAGTACAAATTATGATGAGACCAGATGAATTCTCAAAATTCGTTAATTTAAAGGGACTGTAGAATGTAGTTGAGTGGAGACGTTATTTTAAGTAACCCTATATTTAAAGAACAGTCTCTCTTAATAAAACCTTGATAAAGGATGACAATTATATCCTTATGTTTCATGCTCAAAATTGAGTCCCGAGATACACTCCTTGTCATTTTCAGTAAACAATGTACCATGCACAACCGGTGTACATTTGAATATCCAAGCTGGACCAACCTTGGTTTGGACTGTCCTGCCTGGTCATAAGGTCGGATCAAAGAGAATAGAATATATATTAGAGTGGAATTTAGTCAATCTTTTGGTATGAATTTTTTCAGTCCCTTTCAGCCTGAAAGGGAGTTCAAAGTGTACAAATCATGTAAATATTCACAAATTAAATGCAGTAGAGTATATTAATAAAGTATGTTCCCTAGACTATCCATTTCAATTTCGAATTTTTTAAGCTGTTAAATAAACTTTATAAAATGAATAAGGCGAAAAAAAAACATCATTATAATCGTTATAATGGAAAATCATCGTTTGTATAGTGAAAGGCATAGAGTCTATGTGAATGATCATTGGTCAATTATGAAACCAGCCTATTTCATAATTTGATTTTCTTTTAATATTAATTTTAGATTTTCTATAATATGATGTTCCAGGGCCCAAAAGGTTACATAGCGCAAATATGTGAAGTACACCTGCAGTATGGAAACAGTACAACAAAATGGCCGTTTTACACTTTTTTCTAGTAAATTCCCCTCTAATATATATTCTATTCTCTTTGGGTCTGATTGTGCTTCTATTTGAATTTACTTAAACTAAATCGGACATGAAGTTCTTTAAATGGAGGTTGCTTGAAATTACGTCTAAAACCCTTTTAAGTATTTTTGAAAAATTAAAGTGTAAACTTTGAAAGGAAGTGTGGGGGGGGGGGAGGTAAAGGGCCAATGGAAGGGGGTTGTTGGACATGAATGTATCATTAGAGTCTACATTATCTAGAGCAAAAACCATGCAAGGTTGTTAAATAAACGACAAATAAGATTAATCATAAAGATAAGGTAATGTTTGAATAGATAAATAAAATGTAAAAACTCTAGATGAAATTCCACTTAGTAAACATGACGAAACCAATCTACATATTTCTCACGGGTTCAAGTTTGTTTGTGGACATCCTGTTTTTTAATTTTTTATTAATATGAAAATGCTTTGTTTTAAAGAGATAATAAATATAATTATTAGTTAAAGAACGAGGAAACACTTGTTTAAATATACGACGTTTAGCAGTTCAGGTCCTATAAATGTTTATTATTTCTCATCTTTTATCCTAACTCATATTCTTGATCTTAGGTCTCATCCTTCATCCTAGCTCTCATCCTTTTTCTTTTCTTTATCCTTGATCTTAGTTCTCATCCTTCATCCTAGCTCTCATCCTTTATCTTAGTTCTCATCCTTCATCCTAGCTCTCATCCTTAATTATAGTTCTCATCCTTCATCCTAGCTCTCATCCATCATCCTAGCTCTCATCTTTCATCCTAGCTCTCATCTTTCATCCTAGCTCTCATCCTTCATTCTAGCTTTCATACTTCATACTAGTTCTCATCCTTCATTCTAGCTCTCATCTTTCATCAGCACTCATCGTTCATTCTAGCTCTCATCTTTCATCCTAGTTCTCATCATTCATCCTAGCTCTCATCTTTCATCCTAGCTCTCATCCTTCATTCTAGCTCTCATCCTTCATCCTAGTTCTCATCCTTTATCCTAGTTCATCCTAGCTCTCATTTTTTATCTTATTTTTTATCCTTCATCCTAGCTCTCATCATTTATTTTATTTTTTCATCCTTCATCCTTCATCCTTGATTATATTTCTCATCCTTCACCCGGTCTTCAATTTACATAATTTCTTCGTCAGTCTTCAAACTGCATTCCTTTTGCTCTATACTAGATATTCCTTCATCCTTTGCTAGAGGTTTTATAAAATAAAAAATCTTTTTCTTCTTCTCACTGTTCACATATACTACTCATTACATTGGTGATTGTTAAAAAATTTACATCTAAACTTCTTATTTATTTACCTTTTCTTTCCAGGTTGTTTTCTTTGTTGAAAATTAGGTCGTTTTTCTGGAGACATTTTTCTAAAAGTAAAATTGTTTAAAAAATTGATATTGCTAGAGTTCAATTCCAAATTTTTCTCGACATCCTAGAATCCCCGGAACCCAAGAATCCCCAGAATCCTAGAATCCCCGGAACCCAAGAATCCCCAGAATCCTAGAATCCCCGGAACCCAAGAATCCCCAGAATCCTAGAATCCCCGGAACCCAAGAATCCCCAGAATCCTAGAATCCCCGGAACCCAAGAATCCCCAGAATCCTAGAATCCCCGGAANCCTCAGAATCCCCAGAATCCCCAGAATCCCCAGAATCCTCAGAATCCCCAGAATCCCCAGAATCCCCAGAACCCTAGAATCCTCAGAATACCCAGAATCTCCAGAATCCCCAGAACCCTAGAATCCCCAGAATCCCCAGAATCTCCGGTGAGATGATGTTGTGAAAAAATTACAAAAGATACGGACAAAACGAAATGAAAATTGTTATGACACCTATTGCGATTTATGATTATTTCTCGTATTAACTATAAGAAAAAAGGATAAAACACAAATTGTTTAAACAAAATGTTAGAATTGAATTTATAAAAACTTACTTTTTTGAACTTTTCCCTGCTCCTTGCTCACGGAAACCCTTGGCAAAGGGATTGTGGTCAATTTTCAACTGAGTGATCTAAACATAACAAATTTGAGATGATTTTCTACAATAAAGGAATTCATTCTTTGTCACAAACTGAACATTTTTAATCACTATATCTTTGCAATCTGATGGTGTAAATCTCTGATATTTCAGAGATTAGAAAATTGGAGTTTATGACAAAGACCTTGAAAAGATCATGGATTAACTAGCTTGAATCATCAATTGATCTACAGGAAAAATTAGTATCATGGGCAGGAGTTCCGTGTCAATTTTTACGATTTTTATGATTTTAAATAGTTCATGTGCATGAAACACTGAAGTTGATAGTGCAGTGTACACAGACCCAATTCACTTCCTATGTTTACTTTACTGGTAAATCTACTTGCTTTAAAAAATTTCAATTCACCTAAGATTGCTTAAATGTCTTTCTATTCCACAGCATTATGTATTATTATTAACTTATTCATGGATTATTTTGATGGCTCATGTCCTCTTTACGTTATAAGACGTGATGCGCATGGGAAAACATCATTGCATGTGTTTTAAAAGTACGGGGCATTCACCAGTATAATGCACACAACTCTTGGGCCTATCAATGTCATTGCAGACCTTCATGGTATCTTTGTTGGGTTGAGTTTAACAATTCCGTTTAGTGATATGTATAGAGGTATAGGGTACACAGGAGTACACATATTATATATAATGATTAGATGTGAGGGGGGGGGTATTGTTGAAGATGGACATTTTGTGATATTTAAACCTATTACTGTGGAGATAAATACACAACTTTCTCTCTAATACAGAAAATTATTAGATTATGGAGAAAATTACTATAATCCTATTATAGATCAGATTATAAGAACAAAATCATAACTTTTTTCTTTTTTCTACAAAACATAGTTAGAAAATATCAGATTAAAGTTTGTTCTGCATGTTCCTCTTTTCTTCCTGGTGATTTAAAAATATTTCTAAACTTTGAATTTTTGCAAGAAACCATCAGAGTGACATTTAAAATTGTTCAGAACATATTTTTTTTTATTTTGAAATAGAGCTTTTATTTATTTGTTTAAATCCCCTTCAATTCAATATCCTTTCTAGAGGATATATTGGATATATTGAATATATCGGAAATATTGGACGTTCCTTCCGAATCCTTCTCATTTTAAACACATTCTTTCATCTTATATATTCAGCCAGACGAGGGAGGGAAGTCCCGGCCGCCATGGCAGTGCCGAGCCTCCCCTATACAGTAAATACAGCAAATTAAGCCTGGGCCATATCTAGGAGGTTTTAAACTTATATTTTAAGTTTAAAAAAACGGTAGGCAGGCGCATATTGGTGTATAGCGGTGGCTCGGTACTGTATAGTGGTGGCTCGGTACTGTATAGTGGTGGCTCGGTACTGTATAGTGGTGGCTCGGTACTGCCCTGAAAAAGTTTTTTAAAAATTATAAGGGAGAGTTCGCTAAAAAAAAGAATAAGGTGAAAATTTATATTTAGATGATAACAAGAAGCAGTTCAATTATGTAGAGATTGAACGCCTTTTCTTGAAGAAGTGTTTCAACTTAGTCTAAGCAGGGGTCCATATAATTCCCAAAATAGCTGATTTTCTCGATCCCAAAATAGTTTTTGGCCCCCAACTTAAAAAAAATGCCCCCAATTGACCCCAATTAAATAAAAATGCCCCCAATTTTTTTTTTAAATTATCATTTAAAAAAAATTTGCCCCCATTTCTCTAAGTAGTTCAAATACTTCTCGATATTAAGTTTTTGGTCCCAAGGCAAATTCTCTGAGTTATGACGCATTTCTTCTTTAAAAAACAAAACATTTTAAACTGGTTTATCCCTGAAATGTCCACCAACCTTTTCATTCTGGTAAGCTGTGACGCCAATGAACTCCGTCTCCTTGAACACAAAGGTTCTGAAGGTAGAGTAGGGGAGCTGCAAGATGTCGCTGGCCCTCACCAAGTGGAACCTCGGCTGGTACTTGTGCATCGAGTTCAAGATTGTCTAGAAAATAGAAATTGAATTAGAAACAGATTCTTTTATATCTTTATGGCTTTTATTGCTAAAATTATAAAGTGAAAGTGGGTCTTATATTATTAGTATTTTGTTTAATATATAATATACGTACTGCAACCAGCATTCCATAAATGAATGGACGCACATCTTTAATGGTAAGAGCTGGATGGGGACTATTGTGTAAGAATTTTTATTTTGACAAAATTGAATTCTTGTTGATAAAAAAAAACTTACATATCCTTGTTTATCTGATATATTGTTGGTGAGCTTGAGTTTATGGAAGGAGACGACCTTCTGCATCCACTGCTCCCCGGTGGCGGGGCTGTCTGGGTGGATGTACATCCTCTTCGGCATCTCAGTATCGGCCTTTCCGGCCACTATCCATCGGCTGAACAAGAAACTTAGTATTTTTTGGACAATCGGAAAAGATAAATAATTTTCCAATATCGTTTTCAGGGTGTTTACGGTTTATAGGAGCATGTTGGTAAAAGGAGGTTGGTTATAACTTGGATTGGAGATTGTTTTGAGGTTGGTTTGAAGGTTAGTTGGAGGTTGGTTGGAGGTTGGTTGGAGGTTGGTTGGAGGCTGGTTTGGAGGTTAGTTGGAGGTTGACTTGGAGGTTAGTTGGAGGTTGGTTGGAGGTTGGTTGGAGGTTGGTTGGAGGTTGGTTGGAGGTTGGTTGAAGGTTGGTTGGAGGTTGGTTGGAAGTTAGTTGGAGGTTTGTTGGAGGTTGGTTTGAAGGTTGATTTGGAGGTTGGTTGGAGGTTGGATGAAATTTGAATTGGAGGTCGGTTTGATTGTGAGGTTTATTTTTATGTACTTCGAATTTGGTTTGGAGGTTGACGGTTAGTTTAATATCGTTGGAGGACATTGGAGAGAAAGAAGTTAAGACAAAAAATTGGTCAAAATGGAGAGGAGGGGGAGGGGGAGACTTGGAATTAGAATAGATTAAAAACTAGTTTAGGGTTTTAAATTTATAGAAATTTTTCTATTTGCTTGAAAATAGTTGAAGGTCCTTTCAGTATTCAAGTCTTTAAATTGAAGCATGGGAAAGAAGGAGAGTATTGTTGGGGAGGGGGGGGGGGG